AAACAGTTAAAAAAAGAAAACCAATAAAGAAAAAATATAAAAAGGAAAAAAATACATATATATTAGATAAACTAGTTAAAAAACGTTAAAAAAGAAAAGGGTAAAAGTTAAAAAAAATTAGCAGAAGAAGAAAAAAAAATTGAAAAATAAAAAAAAAATTAAATTAACTGCAAGGCTAAAGAATCATGGGGAGAAAGCCATGAGTTCCGTGCTTCGCTTTCTCCTCCTCTGGAACTCCGCTGCTCTCCTTGGTATTGAAACTGCACTCCTTGGTAGGTGAACTTGGTCCTGGCTGGGTTTCTTGTTATCTTCTGGGGGAGGGGCCTGTTGTAGTGATTCTCAAGTGTCTTTGCCCCAGGCGGCGTTGCACTGCCCTTACCCAGGGCGGGTCTGAATAATCCGCTCCGGTTTGCTTTCGGGAGCTTTAGTTCCCTGAGCGCTTTCCGTAGAGTTCCGGAGGGCAGGAATGAAGATGGCGGCCTCCCGGTCTCCGGCTGGAGGAGCTGAGAGCCCGGGGACCCACTCCTCAGTGCGCCCTCAGAGAACAGCGCCCAATTACTCCCGTCACCCTGGCCTCTGGGGCCGCGCTCCGAGCTGACCGAGCCTGCGACCGGTTCAAGGTAACCCCGAGCTTAGAGCTCACTCCTCAGCTCTGTCTCTGTAGCCGGCTTCCCCGTTCTAATACCTGTAAGCTCTGTGACACTCAGACACCCCCGATCCTTCTGTGACCCTGTGGGACCTGAGGCCACGCTGACCCCGCGCGGGCTTCACCCCGGTTAAGCCTCTGGAGTGATGTCCCTCAGCGGAACTGACTTTTAAAAGTCCTGATTTTGTGCTCCGTTGCTCCGCCGCTTTCCGGGAGCCGGCCCCTCCCCCCGCGGTCTATCTTCCCGTCGCTTTGGATTCACTTCTCCGCCAGTCCTACCTTTCAGAAAGTGGTTGATTTTCTGTTTCTAGAGTTGCTGTTCTTCTTCTCTTCGATCTCCCGTTGGATTTGTAGGTGTTTGCAATCTTTAGATAAGCTATCTAGCTGATCTCCCGCTACCTGAAGTAGTCTCAGCCTGCTACTTCTCCATCATCTTGACTCCTCCCCCCACTCAGTTTTATTTTAAATGAGACTTTCTTAAAAATGAGACTTTCTTAATTCTGTTAAACTGTTAGAGATATTCAGGTTACGTCTTTAGGTAAGTTTAATAATAATAGTGCCCTGAGAAAGGTAATACAATTATTACTTCATTCTTTTTGGTTTAGTTGGCATATTTTTTTCATTTATATCAAATTGGAGTTTGTAGTGTTTTTGTGGTGTTGGTTGTTAACAGTGTGGCATCCTATTGTAAACATCTAGGCTCTACAGAAGTTATTAAGCAAATACCAAAAACCACACTTCTTAAAAATTCTAAGGTACTTTACTTTTACTTGATTTGTTATGACCAGGCTCATTCAATTGTTTTAAATCCTTTTTAGCTCCGTGTCCCTTTTATTTTTCTAAAATAACAAATGATACTTTTTATCATAGTTATTTTTCTTGAAGACCTTCTACTGTTCTTTTAAATACTCAATATTTTTCCAAAACTTTTTCAAGTTCCTGAAGCTGAAGTTATTTTTTCTGTCTCTGCTATATTTACTCATCACCTTCAGCCTCAAAGCAAGTGAAAAAAAACTTTCATTCTCATTATAGTTTTTTTTTTCCCTTTTGTCTCTTTTTAGTTGATGTCAGACCTGTTAAATGTTAAGTTCTGGTGAGTGAGACCTTATCCATTGAAGTTGCTTTACATATATAAGGGAGTTTAAGAATAGCATAAAGTATTTAAAAAAAAAAAAAAAAACAGAGAAAGAAAAGGGGTTGACCTGGTTGACCCAGCTGGATAGGCACCTGACTCTTGATCACAGCTCAGGTCTTGATCTCAGGGTAATGCGTTCAATCCCTGCACTGGGCTGCACACTGGACATGGAGCCTACTTAAAAAAAAAAAAAAAAAAAAAAGCAAAAAGTATTTCATATTTAATGACTTGGTGATTCCTTGAGTAGCCTAATATAATTACTGGTATCAAATTCTTAGATTTTTTAATTCATTTTACAGAAGAGTCTGCAGAGGAATCAATTGCTATCAGCATTGCGCAAATGGAAAAACGTTTACTTCATGGCTTAATTCATAATGTTCTACCATATGTCGGAACTTCAGTAAAAACTATAGTATTAGCATACAGCTCTGCAGTTTCCAGCAAAATGGTATGTATAAATTAGTATAAGTTTGGGTATTAAGAAAAAGTAGCAGTGATCTAAATTTGGTTTACTTATTCCTGAATTTAATGAAGGAAAAAAAAATAGCTGTTTACTCAGGAGAGTGCCTTCCCATGGGCAGCCATACACTGCTAAATTTTCATGTTATTTCATTTCCGTTTTCCTAGTAGTTTTGGTTTATAGGTACCCTCTACACATTATAGAAAAGGAAACAGAGACCAGGAGAGGTTGAACAATTTACTTAGTTTCACAGATACTAAGTTCAATGATGAAGCCCAGTTTTTTTTTGATGTTTGTTTATTTGTAAGACTTGGTAAAACAGGCAAGTGAGGTTAAATCACACTGTCTTACAAGTGTGTCTTGTCCTCCATCAGAATCTCCTTGGGTATTCCTTAGAAATATAAATTTCTTGGGTCTAATCTCATGGTTACGAAAACAGATTGTCCAGAGTTTTGAGTCCAGCATATGTATTTGTAATGCGAACTGAAGTGATTTTTTACATGCACAAAAGCTTGAGAACCACTGATTTATGTTATTTACTGAAAGTTATTTACTAAAAGTTATGTCTTTCTTAATCCCCCCCCCCCCACCAGGTTAGGCAGATTTTAGAACTTTGTCCTAACTTGGAGCATCTGGATCTGACCCAGACTGACATTTCAGATTCTGCATTTGACAGGTTAGTTATTTTTTGGACATTTTAGTATAATGATTTCAACCTACGTATTAGTAGAATTGTTCTGTAGTTTCTTATTTCCATCATTGCAGTTTAATTGTACTATAATTTTTTACTATTAGATCTAAGTCATATGTGACTTAACTTGATAGTACCCTCCAGTTCTTTGCTTCTTGTTCATAGGATCCAGCTGATCCAAAAATTCAATTTGCATCATCCTTTCATCTTTATAATCCTAAACCTGTATCTAGACCTTTGAGCCTTGCTGGGCAGTCAATGTAGATTGGCATTATATATTTTTAAGAAGTTTCCAGTTTCATTTGGGCTCCAAATGCCATTTGGCAAAGCTTTCTCTTACATTCTTTATATTCTGGAACTGTAACATTTTCCTCAAGCTACAGTCTTCATAGGTTTTATTTCCTTAGATACCATCACTTTCTTTCTTATTCTACCTCACCCTTCTCTGTCCCCTTCTAGCATTTATATCAGTATCTCTCTTCCTGTTTCAGAGGGAGAGGTGTACCCTTCTCTGGCTATGGCTAATTCTATCCCAGTTCCTAGAGTTTGTTTCTTCTGGATCTTCTTCCTTTAATTAGTTATTCTCTTTCTTTGGTGTGTGTACAGCCTTTCCTCTACTGGTTACTTGTTGGAATAATATGTGAAGTCTCTCCTTTTTATATCTTTGTCCTCCTACCCTTATAACGGAAGGGTAGCAATAATCTTAAACCCTAATTACTCTTACTGTCTTTTCTAATTCCTAGTTTCTAAAATGATGCCTGACAGTAGATACTCAGTAAATATTTGATTATATTAGATTTTAAATATTTTAGTTTCTGTCTATTCACATATAATCAAATGCTTTTGAAGACTTTAATAATATCCACTAATAGTCCTATTATTTCTTAATTATAGTTGGTCTTGGCTTGGTTGCTGCCAGAGTCTTCGGCATCTTGATCTGTCTGGATGTGAAAAAATCACAGATGTGGCTCTAGAGAAGATTTCTAGAGCCCTCGGAATTCTGACATCTCATCAGAGTGGCCTTTTAAAAACTACGAGCAAAATTACTTCGACTACATGGAAAAATAAAGACATTACCATGCAGTCCACCAAGCAATACACTTGTTTGCACGATTTAACTAACAAAGGTATTGGAGAAGAGATGGATAATGAACACCCCTGGACTAAGACCGTTTCTTCTGACAGTTTCACTTCTCCATATGTGTGGATGTTAGATGCTGAAGATTTGGCTGATATTGAAGATGCTGTAGAATGGAGACATAGAAATGTTGAAAGTCTTTGTGTAATGGAAACAGCATCCAACTTTAGTTGTTCCTCCTCTGGTTGTTACAGTAAAGATATTGTTGGATTAAGGACTAGTGTCTGTTGGCAGCAGCATTGTGCTTCTCCAGCCTTTGCATATTGTGGTCATTCATTTTGTTGTACAGGAACAGCTCTAAGAACTATGTCAGCACTCCCAGAGTCTTCTACATTGTGTAAAAAAGCAACAAGGACTAGATTGCTTAGAGGACAAGACTTAATTTACTCTGGGAGTGAAAAATCTGATCAAGAGACTGGACGTGTACTTCTGTTTCTCAGTCTGTCTGGATGTTATCAGATCACAGACCATGGTCTCAGGTAAGTAATTAGTTGCAGAATATTAAGAAGTGGACATGTTCACATTCTCAAATAGAATATAAAAATTTCAATTTAAGTCATTCCTTTTTAGCTGAGTTGTTTAACTGAAAGAGTTAACCAGAATCTGTCCTACTTCAAAGCGTTAGAACAATAGAAGTTGAGCTCAGAGTTTCATTTCAGTCCATTTAAATTCTTTGTGAAATATGGAAGAACATTTAGAGTTTATTTTTTTAAAAAATTTTTTGTTTATTTTTCAGAGAGAGTGAGTGTGCGTGCATATGCACAAATTGGGGGGAAGGCAGAGGGAGAAGCAGACTCACTACTGAGCAGGGAGCGTGAGTGGGACTTTATCCCAGAACTCTGGAATCCTGACCTCAGCCAAAGGCAGACACTTAACTGATTGAGCCACCCAGGTGCCCAGAATGTTGAGTTTAATCAATAGTCAGCAAATGCCTACCAATTTTCCAAGATTTTAGTAGATGAAAAATAAGATAGTTTTTCCCTCAAGGGCTTGTAACAGAGAAGAAAATAAAATATACCATATTCCATTGCTGTGTATTATCTGTGTACACTCTTTAAGGGATGTCGTATAGAGATTCTGTGGGTATCAAAGGAGATAGAAGACATCTCTCATTCAGTTGTAGTAAATGATCAGGAAATTTAATGAGGAAGGGTGCCTGGCTGGGTCAGTCACCAGAGCATCTGACTCTTGATCTCAGGATTGTGAGTTCAAGCCCCATGTTGGACATGGAGCACCTGCTTAAAAAAAAAACCAAAAACCAAAAAAAAACAGAAAGAAAAAAAGAAATGACACTGAATTGAATCTTGAAGGAAAATGAAGGATTTTGATAGGTGACAGTGGGAGAAGACACCATTCATTCCAAGCAGTGAGGATTACTTGAGCACACAGTACACATAGTAGTAAAGCGCTATTGTAATTGTTGCTGGTTATTTTGTTGTTATGGCTGTTCTCAGCATTATTAATGTGCAATAATTATTTCATTATGTTTGATAGGAACTTTTGGAAATTTGTTTATGTGTTTTCTCTTTTACCTTGTAATAGACTTGAATTTTATTAAGGTTCTTTAATAATGGGATGCTAGACATGTTAAACAATGAAAATTCATCCAACATAAAGCCTAGTATTCTTCTTTTCTTGTCAGTATGATCTTTAGCAGATTAAGTTTGACTCAGTAAATGTTTAGAGACTTGGTATTCCAATTTGATTGTGGTGAATGATATGTACTGGGTGATAGTAGGATGTAAGTTTATAAAAGTAGATTGGTGATATATAAGTGGAAGGTAGAAGAGCAGAAAAATTATTTTTTGAGTAGCCTTCTGTATTCTTTCTTTAAGAAGCAAGGTCCTTAAAAAAGGTATGTATTTCAAATGTACCCACATGGTTTAATAATTTATAAAAATGTTTGCAGTTAAAATCCTATTTTAAATTTATAGGGAAGTTAGCAGAAAAGTGATCTTTGTAAAGAGTTTTTAAAATTTTTTTAATTTTTTAATTTTTATTAACATATAATGTATTATTTGCCCCAGGGGTACAGGTCTGTGAATCATCTGGCTTACACATTTCACAGCACTCACCATAGCATATACCCTTCCCCATGTCCATACCCAACCATCCTCTGCCTACCCCCGACCCCCCAGCAACCCTCAGTTTGTTTTGTGAGATTGAGAGTCTCTTATGGTTTGTCTCCCTCTTGATCCCATCTTTTTTTTTTTTTTTTTTTAAGATTTTATTTATTTATTTGACGGACAGATCACAGGTAGGCAGAGAGGCAGGCAGAGAGAGAGATGGGGAAGCAGGCTCTCTGGCGAGCAAAGAGCCCGATGGTGGGGCTCGATCCCAGGACCCTGGGATCATGACCTGAGCTGAAGGCAGAGGCTTTAACCCACTGAGCCACTCAGGTGCTCCCCCCTTTTTTAAAAGATTTTATTTATTTATTTGACAGAGATCACAGAGAGGCAGGCAGAGAGAGAGAGAGAGGAAGCAGGCTCCCCTCTGAGCAGAGAGCCTGATGCGGGGCTCAATCCCAGGACCCTGGGTCTTGATCCCAACTTGTTTCATTTTTTCCTTCCCTATCCCCCAGACCCCTTGCCCTGCCTCTCAAATTCCTCAGAAAATAATTCTATACTAATTTATTGGCATTAATATTAGAATTTGGCCTACTAAAAATCTTCAAGGGGTACAGAATTACATTTATTATTATTTCATCATTTAGGATTTTCTTTTCTCTTTTTAACTTAAAATGAGTCATGGTTTTATATTGGGAATTTTTGGAAAATGTAGAGTATCTGTTGAAGTAATTTAGTGCTGTTATATAGCCTTAAGTTTTACAAAAAGCACTGCTGAGTTGTATCGGAATTGAATAGCCAGAGTTTAGAATTTTTGGTCTTTGAGCGTGATCTACTTGTACTGCCTTTTTTTTTTTTTTTTTTTTTTTTGGGAAAAAAAAACTTTAATAGAAGCAACAAAATAGCTGCAGTACTAAAGACAAACTTAACAAGTAATGGACACCATCTATGAGAAGAAAACTTTAAAATACTGAACAACACAGAAGATATTCATTTAAACAAGCAGAAAGTTCTGCCATATTCTTGAATAGAAAAAACCAACAACATAACGAAGTCAAAGCTCCCAATATTATCAGTTGGTTGGCCAAATACAGACAAAAATTATAGGAAAAAATCATAATAAATACTGCCTTTGTAATTTATTAAACCACATTATGAAACTAACTATATGCAGAGTGGTATGTGCTTATAACTAGAAAAAAACAAAGAAAATGCATCTAAATCTATAAAGCATTCTTTTCGTTTGATAAAGAGAGCTCTTCAATTTAAGTAAAAAAAAAATATGAGTTACTAAGTAAATTAAACTGAGTCAATAATAAGCCATTTTGAAAAAAAAAACCAAAACACATAAATTTGGATTCCTGCCTCATATACAATAAATTCCAGATGGATCAAAGAATTATAAATGAAAAATTAATCATAAAGTATTAGTGGCAAAAAACTCAAGCACATAGAGTTCTTTTATATTCTCAGAATGGTGAAGGCCTCTTAACCATTACAGACAACTCTAGAAGCTTTGAAGTAGCATATTGGTAAATTCAGCTATATAAAATACAGTTTTTCTGCCTGAAGAAAAAAATAAAAGGCAAGTGACAAATGGGGAAAAAAATTGCAACTTATATCACAAATTATTCGTTTTCCTAATGTGGAAACATTCATACCAATTAATAAGAAAATAATCGAAAACAGCTGAAAATTTGCAAAGCTTATGAAAAAGCAAATTACAGAAAATGACATACAAATACTTAACTCCTGAAAATATGAAAAGACACTTGATCTCATTTATCATAAGGAAAATATAAAATTATAGTTTTGTAAGATACAATTTTCACTTACACATTTTGGCAAGTATTTTAAAATTTGATAACACAGAGGCACTTTCATACTTCTTGCTAGAAGTTGTACTGCTTTTTTAAGTTATAAAGAAACTACCTGGGAGAAGTTCTGTATTTTATTTTCTCTCATTTTTTCTTTTTGTCATTACAATCTTTAATAAACTAAATTAATCTCTTTCCTCCTGGAGAATGGAAGGGTGGAGTGAAGCATTCATTAGCTCAGAGAGGTAGCTCTTCTCGGCTCCTAGATTCTGTTATGTTTTATGGGACCCACTTAGAGCTCTGTTAGGTTATGTGTTCTTATGAAAAATGTTGGAGAAAATACCATGGTTCACTGACTTTGGGGCCAGACAGACTTGGTGTAGTTGATACTGTTTTTTTTTTTTCTATATAACTGGCTTTGTGTAAAATACTTAACCTAGCCTTATATAAGGTGAATAGGTGACACAGAGTAGATTTTCAATAAGTAGTAGTAGCTGTGTAATGAATGCTTAGTTATCTTTGACATGAGCCTTTGGAAATTGATGACATGTTTATATTGTAAGAAGACAGTATGTAATACATATAACATACAAAATATGTGTTACTTGACTGTTTATATTATAGGTAAGGCTTCCAGTCAGCAGTAGGCTACTAGTAGTTAAGTGTTTGGGAGTCAGAAGTTATGCTTGGATTTTCTCTTGCGCAAGGTGGGGATTGTTGGTGTGCTTACCTCTGCAATGTTCAGGGGTCAACTATAGATTTGAATATTACCAGACTCTTTAAAAATTGGATATCAGATATGTTATAATGAAGAATTTATCCAGCACAAAACCTAATACTTCCCTGCCATTACAAGAGATACTTAATAGGAGATGATTACAAAAATCTTTCAGAAGGCATGTACCAAGAATGTTTTCCCCTGAGGTAACTGCTGTTACTATGGCTTGACTGCTGTGCATCATTCCATTAATTTTCTTTTTGTTCAAATTCAAGTGCATAGATTGTAGTTAAAGCAATACAAAGTAAGACAACCATATTCTCATTCCTTTTTAAACTTTTTTTATTGTATTTTTGTATGTGTATTCCTGATAATGGTTTTAGTTGTTTTTGAATGTAACTTGTTGTTTTGTTTTGTTTTTTAATGTAACTTGGTTTTAAAGAATTAGAAATTTTTGGTTCCTAATAATTCATTTTCCAATACCATTATTTTTTTCATTACCACTATACCTTATTAAAACATATCTGTAGCTCTATTCAGTTGTTTTTTTTTTTCTTTTTCCTTTTTTTCAGTTTATTTTAAGTAATCTCTACACCCACTCTGAAGCTTATATTCAAAACCCTGAGATCAAGAGTTGCATGTTTTTCTGATGAGCCAGCCAGGCACCCTTCAGTTGTGTGTTCCTTTTTTTTTAATTTAAAAAATTTTTAAGTTAAAATTTTTTGTTTTTACTTTTGTTGTTGTGGTGGTGGTTTTTTTTTTTTTTTTAAGACTTTTTTAAAACACTTTTTAAAAAAAGATTATTTATTTATTTATTTGACAGACAGAGATCACAAGCAGGCAGAGAGGCAGGCAGAGAGAGACGGGGAGAAGCAGGCTCCCTGCAAAGCAGAGACCCATGTGGGGCTCGATCCCAGGATCCTGGGGTTATGACTCAAGCTGAAGGCAGAGGCTTTAACCCACTGAGCCACCCAGGCGCTAATGGTGGGTTTTTTTGAGAGGGGGTACAAAAAGTGATTTTATTTGGGGACAGGACCTGTGGGCAGAAAGAGCTGCTGCCACTTTTGTTGTTTTTTAAGTTTTAAGTAGGCTCCACACCCATCGTTAAGTGTATGGTAGGGCCCAAATTTATTAACCTGAGATTAAAACCTGAGCTGAAATCAAGAGTCACTCAACTGACTGAACGACCCATGTGCCCTCAGTTGTATTTTCAGCATGACCAGTTTTATTATTCAAAGAATGAAATAACACCTATACCTTTTTGTAGTATTTCAGAGCTGTGGTGATATCTGAGCAAGTGGCAGTTTTCCTATGTTTTCTTAGTTTTATTGGGGTATTTTTAAATAAGTCAGAGTTTATTAAAAATTCTGTATAATTAAAAATCAATTTCAAAGAGAGTCAGTTCTGTTTTTCCTGTTGGCTAGTACCTCATGTATTTAGTGTTTTCTCCAGAGTTTGTATGCATTTTTGTAAAGTCATTGTTTACTAATCCCGTTATCATTTATTGGTCTGTTTCAATTGATTGATTATTTCCCTCATTCTTTGAATGTCTAGTATGTCATGTGATACCAGATAGTGTGAATTATACATTGTTGAATTCTGGATTTTGTTCCGTTTCTTTAAAGATTACTACTTTTTTTAAAAAAAGATTTTATTTATTTATTTGACACAGAGAGAGATCACAAATAGGCAGAGAGGCAGACAGAGAGAGGGGGAAGCAGGCTTCCCCCTGAGCAGAGAGCCCGATGTGGGGCTCGAAACCAGGACCCTGAGGTCATGACTTGAGCTGAAGGCAGAGGCGTAACCCACTGAGCCACCCAAGCGCCCCAGGATTACTACTTTTGAATTATTCCCTGCTCTGTAATATTTCTATATATCTTATATATATTTCTATAACTTTTTTTTCTTACTGCATATATTGTCAATACTTTGTTTAGTGTTTCTTAAGTTGAGGGCAGAACCTGTATTTTACTCATCTTGGATTTTACTGTTTAGGCTTGTGTCTGACATACTTGGGCATTGGTGATAAAAGGTAGACTTGAGTGATCTTCCTCAAATGCATTTTTTAACTTGTTATTACTCTTCTTTCTAAACCTTTCAATGAGTTTTGTTACACTTTGGTTAGGTCCAAATTCTTGGCCCTTGCATACGTCTCGTCTGTAGTTTATATCTTTTTATCTTCTTAAATCTCTAAATTTTTACTTGGTCACATCCTCACCCCCACCAAAAGAAGACGATGTCTCTCTCTCACACACAAACAGACACACAGGGCCATCCTTTTTGTAGCCATATTCAACTATTTTCTCTTTCTTCAAGGCACCGTATTTCTCATCTTTAGGCATTTGAATTTGCTCTGTCTGTAACATACATTTATTGGCTAACTTCTGTTTGTTTCTTGGGGTGCCTGGGTGGCTCAGTTGTTTAATTGTCTGTCTTTAGCTGAGGTCATGATCCCAGGGTCTTGGGATGGAGCCCAGAGTTGGACTCTCTGCTCCCATGGGGAGCTGCCTTCTTCCTCTCCCTCTGCCTGCTGCTCCCCCTGTTTGTGCTCTTCCTCACTGTCAAATGAATAAGAAATCTTAAAAAAAAATTAATGTCCCTTCTTATAGGAAACCTTTTTGGACTCCCCTCCTCCCCCCATCAGTGCCCTTCTGTATATTCCAGGAGACAGTCATATGGTATTATAATTGCATATTTATTTTTGATTTGTTTGATTTCCCATTAAGCTCAGTGAGGGCACTGACTGCCCAAGTTTTTTCTTCAAGTATACTGTGAAAAGAAGTTTTATATTCCATGCAGTCTGTCCTTAGTGTGCTGAAAATTTTAAATTTTAGGAAATGGAGCAGCCTCTGCATCTCAGAAATAGTTTCTGAGATCTTTTCAGACCACTTTTTTCTCCTCCCAGATCCACTTTTTTTTTTTTTTCTTCTTTTAAGGTTTTATTTATTTAGGGGCTCCTGGGTGGCTTAGTCAGTTGAGTGTTAAACTCTTGATTTTGGCTCAGGTCACGATCTCAGGGTCATGAGGTCAGGCTCTGCTCTAAGCTGGGAGTCTGCTTGAGATTTTCTCTGCCTTTGTGCCTTCCCCATCCCCATTCTGCTCACACACACACTGTCTCTCAAGTGAATAGATATATCTTAAAAAAAAAAAGATTTTATTTATTTAGAGTGAGAGAGAGTGTGCATGTGAGCAGGGAGAGGAGCAGGGCAGGGAGAAGGAAAGAGAGAAGAGAATTTCAAGCTGACACAGCACTGAACATGGAACCTGGTGCCAGGCTTGCTTTCATGATGCTGAGATCATGGCCTGAGCTGAAATCAAGAGTCCACTGAACCAACCGAGCCACCCAGGTGCCTTGAGACCACTTTTTAAAAGCTGTTTATTATTTCTTATTATGAGCTATTCAGCTTTATAGGAGAAAAATAATGAACTTTAAACTTTGTACTATCTTCCTTTAAAGACCAGTGTCTCTAACTGCTGTGGTCCAGTCAAGCTACTGAGTTCCTGAACTGCCACTGTTGTTAATTTGAAATCTGAAGGGATGGCTCAAGATAATTTATGATTACAAAAAAATTAGTTTAAATCAGTTTGTTTTTTTTTTTTTTTTCAGTCAAAATGTAAGGGGATGTATGCATTTAAATCTCCCTTGGGGCTTGGGGTTTTGATAATTTTTTTTTTTAAGAATTTTTTATTTGAGAGAGATGAGAGCAAGTGAGCATGAGCAGGGGGAGGGGTACAAGGAGAGGGAGAGAGAGAATCCCAAGTAGACTCCCTGCTGAGCTTGGAGCCTGATGCAGGGTATGATCCCATGATGCTGAGATCATAACCTGAGCCAAATTCAAAACTTAGATGCTCAACTGACTGAATAATTCACCTGCCCTGATAAGTTTTTTTTAATAGGTCAGTTTCTTCTTTTAAATATGCAGTTACAAAACTTTAAAATGTCCCTTTCTAGTCTTTGCTAGTCAGCAGTCCTTTATGGAATATATAAGTATTTCCATAGTTTTGAAAAATCTCAATTAATAATTTATATACTTTTACTTAACTTCCTAATTTTCCTGTACCTGCACAATCATGTTAATTTTTTAAACTAAATTTATTGTATTGTTAGTCTCTTGACATCCCTTTTAAGATAGACTGTTCCAGTTTTCACAGTTTTGCCGTTGTAATACTGCTTTATATATTGTACAGAAAAATGATGTTCTCAGTTTTGTTCTTGATATTTTTCAGCTCTGCCATTGTAATTTTAGCTAAATCTCATTTTATCTATTTATATTAATGTTTTTATTCTTCTAGGACATGCCATTAGGTTTTCATTTTTACTGACATGTAATTCACTTACCGTTAAGTTCATCCTTTTGAAGTATACAAATCAGTGATATCAGTAAATTTATAAGGTTGGCAGGCATCACCACTGATTCAGAAACATTTTCATCATACCATAAGGAAACCCTCTACTCTTTAGCAATTACTCCTTATTCCTCTTTGTCCTGGGCCCCTGGCAACTACTAATCTGCTTTCTGTCTCTATGCCTATTCTGCCTATTTTGGATATTCATATAAATAGAATCATACAGTATGTGGCCTTTGTGTCTGGCTTTTTTCACTTAGCATAATGTTTTCAAGGTTCATTCACGTGGTAACAATATGAGTACTTTATGGCTTTATAATGTATGTTTATCCATTCATTTTAATTAGTTGGAATTTGGGTTGTTTCCACTTTTTGGTTATTATGAATGATGCTGCTATGAATATTTGTTTGCAAGTTATGTGAACATATTTTTTCAGTTCTCTTGGGTGTACACTTAGGAGAGGAAGTGTTGGGTCAAATGCAAATGCTAATGCTAACTCTGAGGAACTACCAAAATTGGTCAGTAATTTTCTTGATAATTTTTATTTAGACAACCTGTAGGAGAATGAAGATGACAATTCCAAGATTCAGTACTTCTTCTAAGAATTGAGTTGCTGTAATATTCTTATAAAGAGAAATTTCATAGACTTGTTTATGGAATGTCCTTGGGAAAAATGTAGGAAGTTTTTCTCAGTTAAATGTATTGCTACCTAAGGATGAGGTTAGTTACCATGTTTTATAGAAATTCTTGAATTTCCTCATTACCCAATTGAAAGATTTGTTAATAGTGGTCCAGTGGGCCATAGGAATACATAAATTTTCATAGAATAATATATTCTAATTGTTGGATTTCTTCTCTTACAGGGTTTTGACTCTGGGAGGAGGGCTGCCTTATTTGGAGCACCTTAATCTCTCTGGTTGTCTTACTGTAACTGGTGCAGGCCTGCAGGATTTGGTTTCAGCATGTCCTTCTCTAAATGATGAATACTTTTACTACTGTGACAACATTAACGGTAATGCCTTTTAATAATGAGATAATTTTGAAGGAATGGATTTAAAATATTTTGACAGTTCTCATGGTTCTTAGGGTTTCTGTTTAATTTTCTAGATTTCTAATTACCAAACTTTTTTACTTTCAGAGAATTCTTTACATTTGATAAAATTTAAAAATCATGTATGTTTTCATTAATTAGCTTCTATAAAGGTAAGTTTTTTTTAGATAGGTATTTCAAGTATATATTCTGCCAGATTTTTGAGCTGTGTAAAATGGCAAGTTTTAAGAATACTAAAATTCTTTTTTTTTTTTTTTAAGACTTTATTTATTTGTTAGAGAGAGAGGAGTAGAGGGAGAGGGAGAAGCAGACTCCCTGTTGTGCAGGGAGCCCAATGCAGGTCTTGATCCCAGGACTCTGAGACCATGACCTGAGCCAAAGGCAGATGCTTAGCCAACTGAGGCACCGCGGCTCCCCTAGAAATATTAAAGTTCTTATAAAATTTTGGGAAATTCTTCTAGAGTGATACAGCATTCATGAACAATTTAGAGGTATTGATGTTCTAGATAAACCAATTTCTTAGGGATGATGACTCAGATTTCTTGTAACATGACTTTAAAAAAAATGCAGTTGAGAAGGGAGGACTTTGGTGATGTGAACTTCTTGGGGATCCTGGGTCTGGTTTTAGATTAGTCTCATGGAAGATTGAGGTGGGGGGCTGGTATTGGGGAAGAGGCTGAGATGCCTTAGACATGACTAAAATTCCTATACTATTTTGGAGATTGATTGCTGAACCTACTTAAAACAATCATTGTATAAATATTTATTGATTGTTTTGTTTCTTAAACCTATCCTTACCGTGCAGTGGGCTTGTTGCATATGTTTTTTTAAAGGTACATTCAGGGCCCTTTTGGGCTTTTGATAGTCACTGGTAGAAACTGAAGTTTCTAGAGGCATAAAAAGCTCCTCAGTTATTAGTAAGCAAATCAATTCCCTGTATTTATAACTGGAAAAACATTTACATGGTTCAGATTCTACTAAGCATCTGTCTTTTTACACCATATGCAGTTTTCTTTGAAAGCCCAAGTTATCTTAAGATGACAAGAAAATCACCTGAGTTTCTCTCAGGGAGAACAGTTGAAAGGAACCAGGAAGACTGGAGGAATGGTCTCTTTAATGACATACCTATAGGCAGAGAAGTTAGCAAATTGCTATTTCTGGGCAATTAGGTTTTCCTTAAATACATATAAAGAGACAGGAGATCGCAGCTCTTTTATTTCTGGCATAACATGGGTGATATGGGAGATGACCTCCCTTGTTCTTGAAGTCACAACACTAAGGAGGAGCATTTCTTTGCTCTCTCACCTTCAGCATATAATCCAGGAATGGTGAAAATGAATGTCATTTTAGTTGCAACCTGCTAAGCATACAAAACCAGTTTGATTGTTTCCATGAACCATTTGCTGCTTTTGTAGATGCAATGAATTTGAGATGGGATTTTTTTTTTTTTTTAATGTGCAGTTATGTCATTGTAGGTGCAATGTTGTACTTCCTAAGGCTTAAGGACATATCCTGAAAAGTAACTAGTAGGCAGTTATTTTTATAAGAAAAACATCTTATTTGTATGTTGCACTTAAATTGTGTACAGTTGATTTCAGCATAGGTTTTGCTTGTGGGAATATCACAACTGAATTTGTTAGATTTGTTTTTGGGTATATAAATGTTACAGGGTGGGGGAGATTGGATTTCAGTTCATTTTTATGATTTCTCTACTTGTTTTGCTTGTGTAATTTTGAAAACTTCTTGAAATTTAGGTGATGGGATAGAGTTAAATACCTGAAATCTTTTGCATCTTGTTAGGATGTTAGAATTCATTTCATCTTAACTGGTTTTGAATATATAAATATTGAAGTGTTCCAAAGGAGCTGCTGCATTCCTTTTGTTGAATGTGATTTTTTCTTGATAAATGAGTGGTAATTTTCAATAAATGAATTTTAATGAAGATATCTGACTTTGAGAGATTTGAAAGGAAATTGACAGCACTTGTATAATCCAATATTGTCTCCTTTCACAGCTTTTAAAACATGATTTTGAGGAAATGGAAATCCTTAACTTTATAGGGTGATTTTTCATATTAACTTAATGTTCTAAAGTTCCACAGCCAGTTGCTCTTAAAGCAATGCTCTGATGGCATTTTTTTCCTTAAAAGGATATGTGGACAACCTAGAAAGTGTTAGAATAAAGTTGCATTGTATCCAGGTTTGCAGTATGATATGATTGATCCAGTAACTTTTACTACAGCTCAATTTGTACAATAAATATTTAATGACTGCTTATGGGGCCCTTTTTTATTTTTATTTTTTCTGAAAATAGTATGTTTTATATATGGTTTTAGAATAATAGGGAGCATAGTTAGGTGACAAACTATATCAAATATTTGGGTAACATTTAACTAAAAATGTATTTGTTAAAAAAAGCTTCATATAGTTAGCTACTAGATTATTAACTAAAAGAAGTAAATACTGATAAACAATATGCATAACTAAATAATGAGTGATAAAGCAGAATGACCTGTTTCCTAAGAGATTTTGGAGAAGATAAGTTAGTATCAGATATTCAAATATTATCTGCTGTGATCAAGATACTGTACTAAACACTGATTAAAAAATGCCAGTTTTATTCTTCTGAATGATTCCTCGTGACATTTAAATTTGTGATTTGATTGAAAAAGTTTAAGATTTAAACATAAAAGAAGGCTTCTTTGCCATAACATTTAAAAACTTCTTTGTCATTTAAGAAGTGTTAAGTGGAATTGCATAGTTTCGGAGCTCTGAGGAACACTTGAACAATGATAGCAAATAAACTTTTTGTACTGATTTTGCATTTCATTGTCTGTATAATTTATGAATTAAGATAGATTAGCTCATAGTTCTGGAGGTGACAAAGTCTCAGATGATTTGCTCTCTTATGTTTCTAATTTAAGTTAAAGAGGAATTAAAGGTAAGTGAAGGTAAGTGCAGATATACAGCATAAATAATATACTTAAAATCCAGGAAAAACCAATCAATAATACAAATTTGGGAAAATAACTATAGTTAACATTATGGCTCTTTTTATCTAATATTTAAAAAATGCTTTTTTATCTTTAACATGCATTTAAAATTTTTATTTAATGATTATGCCAATTTTATTTTCCTATTTTCTTTATTGTTTTTTAATGTAACTTAGCCCTCAGCCCTCGTGTATTACAGCCATTTGAATTCTTTGTTCTATATTGAGATAGACATTTGCTGATGATGAGTCAAATATTTAAAGGGAATGGCTTTTTGAGTTGTCAGTGTCTGTGGAAGCACAGCTGTCTGCTTGAGATACTTGGCAAAATAACATATGAGGTATCTTAGTCGTGTTTCTGTATAATGCTGCCTCACTTTCTGTTGTCCATTTATTCCCTTTTCTGAACAGTCCTTCTACGATGCTTAAGAGTCTCACTGTTAACATTGCTTACAATTTTCATGCTTTGGAAATTGCCGTTCTCTCCTGTTTTCTACATTATGAGACTAACGTAAATTAAAAAGAGTGGCCTTTAAAGTGCCCCAGGCCTTTAATAGAATAAAATCTCCTCATGGATGACCTTACTTTCATGACTATGTGGATCAGATACCTGGTCTGTAATTGACCTTAAGATGGGATTATAATTTTGAGATAGTATCATAGTTACTGTCTAAGCCCTCATAGGTTTCTCCAGATAGATCCTACTTTCTAATTTGAAAATACTGATGTATTAATTTCCTCTCTTCACTCTCTACTTAAACCTCATTTATTCTAGTGCATATTTGAAGGAGAGGGTACATTTTATATCAGTGTGAGGAATTTGTTTTGTGATGTTAATAAGGAGATGCTGACAGATAAGCAGGATTGGGTTACTTTCAACCTAATATGGGACACATAATTTTATTCCTACACTTTTCTTCCTCTGTGATCCCTATAACCATCCTTTAGACTTTGAGATCAAAGAGTGACCAGAGTGGCCAGGCTGGACCTGAGGTTACTGACTGAGCCTGTCTTCTGGGAGGGGTATGGTGACTACCTGTATGTATTTGGAAAGATAAGGATCTCTAGATAGTTTCTTTGATCTTATTGGCTCCTTTGAGGCTCCCTTATATTTCCTGTGTTAAAACTAGTAGCATACTTCACTTTCATTGCTTTCGGCCATCATTTAGGATTTTTCCCAGGTTATCGTTGAATTCAGTGTAAAGTTTCTTCCTTACCTTTCTGTTCTTTTAAAAAACAGGAATATAGAAATTTTGAAGTATTTTAAGGGAGTTTTAGTTGGAAAATTGTCTAACGTCTCCATGTCTTTTTCCTCTTACTTCTCCCTTTTTAAAAAATTTGGAGTAGAATTACATACTGAGAAATAGATTTTTGCAAAATCCACCAGTTGTGGCATTTCATTACAGGGACTGAGTGTCAGGCAGAGCAGTTAGGTAGTGAGGCGGGGGATAGGTCTTGAAGAGAAGCTCTAGGTTATTGTCAGGCAGAGCAGGAACCAGCATTTAAGGGGTACAGAAAGACAAGCTCAAAAGAGGTGGCATGGAGGGTTGAGTAGTGTGTAAGGAAAAAGCTGAAGATACGTTCAGAAGGAAAACCCTAGTCAAAGGTTGGAGAGTTTCAGACTATAGGATTCCTTCTCAGGACATTTCTATATGATATGTACTAGGACATTTTACTTTGATTTTGGTTAAGATGACTAACCTGGAGTCTTATTTTAAGGGAAATTGATAACAGATAGTACTTTGTGAATTGTTTAAATATTTGACACATTCAACTTTGCCTTTTTAAAATAGGACAGATTTTAATTTTGGTTAAATAAAAATGGGTTTATGGTAATTCAGTTTTATATTTGAAATGTTTAGACTTTTTTAATGGAAAATTTTAAATATATAAACATGGAATAATAAAGCCTCATGTATTATTTGCTTTGGCAGTTATAAAAGTGTGGCTGATCTTCTTCCATTGCTCACTCCCATACCTGCTCCCCATATCCCAGGCATCACATCTATTTTAAAATTAAACATACATTTTTGAAAATAAGTGAAGTCCTAACCTATTGAATTCTCACATATGCTTGTAAAGTTCATTAGTTTCTTTTTTTACTTATATATATATATATAATCATTTCTTTATTGAAATACATGAACGTTATACCTCATTGATTGTATATCCTAAGAAATATGCCTGTAATGTTTCGTGTGTGACATGTCAGGAATACAAGGGAAAATTCTGGGAAATAAGTGTTTTGTGTGTTTCATTGCAAGTAGCCATTTCCTTATGTTGGTATTAGCACAGATGCCTTCTTTTGCAGCAGACTGCTACTTTAAAAAAACAAAACTAAGCTTATTTAAAAATAGTTTTCTGGGTTAAACTAGATATTAGTCCAGGGTACTATGTTTTTTCAGTTATCAGTTTGACATAGTCTATAAAATGATATTTCATGTACTTTTATGGGATCTTTATATTACACAAATGCAAGGATTTTGGTTCTAATTGATGAGTAAAGAATGAATTAACTGCTCTTTGTTCATGGTGCAGATACACTGAAAGGCTTCCGTATAGTTAAAGCATCCTTTTGCACATTGCCTGCCTTTATGAAAACTGTGATTCATTTAGAGAACTTAACGTTTGTTTATGTGCCATGGTACTGCTGCTTTGATATTTCCGAATTCTCAGCTGTGTTCCCTAATGGCTCTTTTATGTAGTGTCTGGGCAGCATAACGTGAATGGGATAAAATGTCAGTTATTCCACAGTGTTGCATTCTTCTTTTGTAATTGAATCATAATTTTTATTATGTCTTAGGTATGTTTATTTAGCTATTCATTCATTATATACTTAATTCTGGAAGATAATTTCATTTAACCCTAACCATTTTGGCTGCAGCTGTTAAAGATATGGAAGACATATTCAGTTTATGTCTATATAGTTTAAGTTTTGACTGTAATGTTTTGTAATTGCTCTATACTGGATTCTTTAGCTGATCTACGGAAAGGGCTGTTTTTGTCTTAATTATATTTCAAGGAAGGATGTTCTGAGTGTAAGAAAATCTGTTAAGTTAGCTCGGCAGTCTTGCTTCTGTGGGTTATCTTTTTATCTTCGTTTTTATTTTGTAAGATTGTTGCTGAAAAATTTCCCTTCTTCTTTCATTTAGCTTTTGGACCAGTTAAAGTAGAGCTGCTGTTCGTTTATTTGTACCTAATTTTTATTTATTAATTGGGACATTTACTTCTAAGTTATACATGTATTGCTAGTTTAAAAAAAAGTCAGATGTCTTAGCTCTTTCATGTAATGCCTAAGAAATTTCTTCCTTTCACACTTCTCTGTTTTTATACAGGTCCTCATGCTGATACCGCCAGCGGATGCCAGAATTTGCAGTGTGGTTTTCGAGCCTGCTGCCGCTCTGGCGAATGACCCTTGACTCCTGACCTTTGTCTACTTCATTTAGCTGAGCAGGCTTCCTTTCATGCACTTTACTTACAGCACATTTCTTGTGTTAACCATCCCTTTTTGAGTGTGACTTGTTTGGGCCCCATTTCTTCAGTCTCAGAAATCTTAATTTACCAGTCAATTGTACAGTGTTGTTTCTCTTGCAAATCATATTTTTGTTTTAGAAAGGGGTTAGATCTTTCCGTAAGGGTGAGAACAGTTTTATCGGTTTTCTTTTAAATGGAATGCTTTGAAAAGAATGTCACTAATGCCATGCAATTTAAAGTATTTTTTAGATTAATTTGAGTTTTAAAGTCAGTGGGGTTATTGATTCTCCTTATATATAAACACTGTACCAAGCTTTGCAGATCTTTTCAAACATACATTTTTGAAGTTTTATTTTCAAAGATTGCACATTTTGAAAAACAGTCTTTTTTCCATGTTTCCTTTGTTTGAGCAATTCTCAGAGGGCCAATTCAAACATACCCACATACAAGAGTCTTTAGGATAATAGAATAAATTGGCTTCTTGGTGTTAGCTCAGTGAGCTAGCAAAGTACCAATGTATTTGTATTTGCTTTCTTCAAATACTCCTGATTCCTACCACTGTCCCTAAATTGTCAAATTTGGGAGGGATTTTTAAAAATTCCACAATCATTTGAAGATATGTATCAATAAAATTTACTTTGAGGACTTTACCAAATAATTTTTTTGGTGTTTTGATTTCATTAGAAATCTCAATTCATGTTTATGTTAGTGTAAAATAGGACTAAATATTTTTCTTTGAGCTCCCTTGAAATCATGATCCTGGCAATTTTAGACAGATACCTAATTTTGTTGAGCTGAATTGTCTTTTTTGAAATTGATTGTGCAGTAGTCAGAGTTTGAATGTGTATTGCCTGTCTTCGTTGCTGTGTGAAGAGACAGTGGGAGGGGGGAACCTGTCATTCAGGTATCCTATATTGAATCAGTTTTATGTAATGCTCTGTATAATTTTATGTCCCGAAGAGAAGAGTCAACAGCATGCTGTCTACTTTAGGAAATTCATGCAAGGCTGTGGAAGAGGAATTAATCTTATAGTCTTGTTACTTGTGTCCCAGGTATTCTTTTGTTTGTTTTATGGAGGGATAGGAGGAGTCTCCCATCCAAGTACTAAACGGGCCCAACCCTGCTTAGCTTCCAAGATCAGATGAGATTGGGCATGTTCAGGGTGGTATGGCTGTAAAGGAGGGCTAAGAGGGGAAGGAGTAGGAAAGGTACAAACAGGTAAGCAGATTTCAGTTCAGGCTAAGAGAAAACTTTGAGACAGAGCTGTGTAAAGATGAAGGAAGACTCATTTGATGAGAACATGAACAGGGAGAATCCATCCATGTTTTAAGTCTCACTGATACCTGAATTAAACACTCCAAGGGAGACTAAGTCTGGGATGGGGGTGCCTTTCTAATGGCTCTCTCTGAAGTGTTGGCTCCTGTCACAGTTGACACTTGCACAATGTTTTCTTGTTGGACAAGGCAGCTGTGTGAGTGACCTTCTTACCTTTTGAGCTTGTGCCTCTTAGGTGTAAGTAGTTGTGACTTTTGTGGCACCATGACACCCAGCCTCCTTAAAAAGTCTGGCCTAAGCACAAAATAAGAAGTGAATTCTTGATTCCCTTGGATAATGTGAAAGGAAATCTAAGCTTAGTGAGCCTTACGGGGTCTGAAGTTTTATTTTGTCAGGTTGATTCTCTTGTAGTTACTGTGTTTTTATTTCCTTAAGTGTTTAATAAAGTTGATTTGAGAAGCTTACATCAGGGACTATTTCAAGAAAACAAACTACAAGAATTCTTCTGAGTAAGTCCATCCAGCTCCATACTTTGTCTTACCTGTATTTACATGAATCGTAAGTAAAATTACTCACCTGGACTCCTGGACCTGAGTCATCAAGTGAGGACTCAAGTTTTTCTTCCATGTAGTCACAAAACAGTATAATATTTTGAGGGAGAAATCTTGATAATGATTCAGTGATGTTTCAGGAGTTGACTTAAATGTTACCCTTTTACATTAACTAATTTAGCAGGGTATCCAGAGGAGTACCGGGTGATTGAAGTGCCTCCCTTTTGCTTTGTTCGGTGGTGCTTGATATTAGCGAACCATTCAGTAGGACCCGGAGGCCTCGGACTACACTCACTTTGGTGTGTCAGCACATTGTCCTCGAGACCCACGGTTTTTCTGTTCTTCCTCTTTAGTTGCATGGGGGAGATCGACAACATCGACATCCATTTAATTTTTATACATTAACGTCAGAGTATAATTAGTATTTGATGAAATACTATAAATACTTGGTTTAAATTTACCTTGGGTTTTATGATTGATTTAATGAGTTTTTGGAACTGTTCATTCTTAGACTAAAATGTAAGTTATGCGAACTGCCATGGGGTGCCTGACAGACATCAGGTACTCAGCTCTGGGCAGTGTTCTAAGTACCTATACTTACATATACTGACTTGTTGAAACAGTGAGAGGAAGTAATGTGATCATTCTGATCCTACTTATGGGGAAAATAAGTAGCACAGAGGTTAAGTAACTCCTCCATGGATACCTTGTAATCTTGGTAATGACTGTTATAGGTCAGTCCTTGAACTCTCCCTTGACAAAGAATTAATTCATAGTTGAGGTATCAGAGGCATGCAGACACATAACTATAATATAATCGGATAGAGGAAAGCATAAGGGAATAAAGTAAAAGGTGAATGTTTTCCTTAATTTGGTCCCTCTGGCTTTATGTTTTGTTTTTCAAAAGTGAGATCAGATTCTAGCTATATAGCTAGTTCTCAGCTGGAGTCAGTTTATCCCATAGAGGACATTAGACAATGTCTGGAAACGTTTTGGTCGTCAAAATTTGGCAGAGGGAAAGGATGCCACTGACATCTAGTGGGGAGTGGTCAGGGATGCTGCTAAACATCCTCTAATGAACAGGTCAGCCCTCCACCAAAAAAAAAAAAAAAAAAGCTTAAAATGTCAGAAGTGCTTTTATTAAGAAATCCTGCTTTATGTACTTCTGTTTTGTGTACATCTTACATGTCAGCACATATATTTAATACCTTTTAATGGCTTAGTATAGTAGTGCCTGTGTTTGTCTTAGTCTGTTTAGGCTGCCGTAACAGAGTATCATACACTGGGTGGCTTAAACAACAAACATTTATTTCTCCTATATTTGGAGGCTGGGAAGTCAGGGGATAAGGTGTTGGCAGATCTGGTTTCTGGTGAGAGCTCTTTTTCTCATTTGCAGAGGGCCATCTTCTTATTGTATCCAGACATGGCCTAAAGAAAGGAAGCAAATTCTCTCCTGTCTCTTCCTAGAGTGGCATTCATCCCAACACAGGGCCTCCACTCTCATAAGCTAATTGCCTCCCAAAAGACCAGTCTCCAAATACCATTGCATAGTTGGGTTTCAAGGTAGGAATTTTGTGGGGGAGACAAACCTTTAGTCCATAGCAATGTCTTGATTTTTTAAATGACTTCCCTTTTGGTGACTGTTTAAACATACTCCCCCGCGCCAATACAATATTGTTTCAATAGGAGTATGTGTGTGTATATATGGGTACATTGTGTACACGTGCATGTTTGCTCAGTATTTCTATAGGATAAGGTCTTTTTTTTTTTTTTTTTTTTTTAAGATTTTATTTATTTGACAGATCACAAGTAGTCAGAGAGGCAGGCAGAAAGAGGGGGGAAACAGGCTCCCAGGGAGCCCAATGCGGGGCCCGATTCCAGGATCCCAGGACCACGACCTGAGCCGAAGGCAGAGGCCCCAACCCACTGAGCTACCAAGGCGCCCCTTTAGGATAAGGTCTTAAGAGGTATTTGGTATTAAAATTTTTATATTGCAAAGTTGTTCCTTCCCCCAGAGAAATTGTGTTGTTTTGCTGGGTCTTTAAAGTATGATGGGTATTCTGCTGGGGAGGCAAAGAAGGGGGGCATTCCAAGTAGAAGGTAAATACAAAGGCATAGAGTTAGGGAGCTCTTAGTGTGAGGGGGAGCTCTGGGTAGCTTTGGTTAAATGTGGGGTCAGAGTGACAAGAGGCAAGGCCGACTACTAAATAATAGTTATTTTGAAAATGATAATTTTATTTTGTTACTTACAAATAATTTGTTCTGATGTCAATATCACAAAAATATTCTCATACCTTAATTACAGTTTTTACATGATACAAAAAATACACAATGAAAAAATTACCTGTTGCGTATAAGGGAGGCAACATAAATCCAAACAGACAAAACATTTTTGGGGTATGGGTGTATATATACAGCTAAAGCAAATTCAACATTAGGAACATCAATATTATGTACTCCGGTGCTGTACACTGCTTCAATTAAAGGCTTCAGTTCAGAATAGGGCATGTGCAGGGGAAATCCAGAGAACTGAAGGAAAAAAAACAACCAAGATTTGTAGTCATTTGTGAAGCTCGAAGATTTCATTTTATTTTTTTCTCCGTGTTTAAACATACGCAATTCTTAATATTCTTGTCTTCCTTCTGCATCTCAAAATCATTTATTTAGTTCTGCTTTTCTATTCAGCTATGTATTAGCAATACAGAAAATGGAGAGGGGCTACATGTCTTTTTTGTTCAGTTGCTAGCATATTGACTTGGTGTATAAGACCACTGTTAGCACCCAGCCTCCCTCCACTATCCCTTCCCTCTCCCTGATAATCAGTCCCTAGTTTGCATAATAACCCATATAATTCTAGGCATCTGGATTAATCCAAATCAACGTATTCTGTCCCCATGGCCACAGTGACTGATCTATAGGGATGGGCATGTGATCAAAGTGAATCTCAGGAAACTTGCTAGGAATGATGGTACACAGATGCGCTCTCCTGCTTTGGACAGTTTGTGTGCAGATGTGAGTCCTGCCTGAAGCTCTTCCAGCCGTTTGGTTCCATGAAAAAAGTGAGCATGAGGACGGTGCCATCACACAGAGGAGGACAAGTTGGAAGACTTACAGAAGAATGACAGCTCTGACAGCTACTCACCTCTGACTTTTACTTAAATAAACCAATAAATTCTTTTTATTGCTCAAACCTGTTTGAATTTCTACTTGAAGACATCCTAGCTGAAAACCTAGTTGTTGTTGTCTTAAGATTTATTCATTTATTTTAGAGAGAGATCAAGTGGAAGATGGGCAAAGGGAGAGAATCTCCAAACAGACTCCCTACTAGGCGCAGAACCCAACTTGGGGTGGGGTGGGGGCGTCGATCTCAGGACTGGGCAATCAAGACCTGAGCTGTAACCAAGAGTCAGACTCAACTGACTGAGCCACCCAGGCACCCCTGAAAACCTCGTTTTAGTAAACAGAATTAAATGTCCAACTTGACTTCATGCTGTTTAGCCAACAAGACTTAAGACTGCTTTCTAGGTTTTATTATCCACACAGCACTGCTGACAGACAGTGGTGAGGACATACCTAATGAGAATTTTTCTTAGCATTGAAAAGCAATTAGTATAAAATCATCTCCTTAAAACTGATCAAGAGTGGTGTTTGTTTTACCTTTATGCACAGTTGAGTCTAATATGATTTAGCCAGATGTTTTAATTTTATTTAATACTCTTGCAATGCATTATATTAAAGATACTTTTCATTCCATAGTCTAAGAGCATTTTCAGTTTATAGAGGCATTTTGTTGTTTAATAGCTTAATTACTGAGATAAACTTTG